ACTGTTTAAAAACAAACATACCAAAGTAAGTTAAATAATCCACAAACTAAAAAGTTATAGAATTTAGTGGAACAATTTTCACAGATTTGTAAAGTTTTCCTCAACTAATGTTAACTTTGGTTAACTTTCTGCTACTTTGAAACAGTAGCAGAAAAAGGTGCTTAAATGTAAACCTGCCAGTTACTGCAGAACGTTTTCATCTTGCCTCAGAGCTACCATTGAATTTACGCACATGAAATAAAGCATGACTACCTTCACTTATTGATCTTTGATTTGACTATTAAGTGTTCTTATGACAAAAAATGAGATGTTTCCTACCGGTTACCTTAGTGCATATGAACATGTGGTAGTTGCCATCGATCACAGTTTCACTGGACATGAGGTCAGCTGCAGGCCTTGATCCATTTCTTGCATTATTTCAGACTCCGTAGGGTTTTGAAAATGGTGCATTTTCAAAACCCATTGATTCTTCCCATCTCTTTTTTTTTACATGCCGTATGTGTTGATAGCTATTTCAGGATTCTGAATTAAATCAGATTCAAATATCTGAAAATAGTTCAGGATGAGTTTGATATTTTCTTGAATTTTTGTAGAAATTGTTCACCCACAGTATAGAAATCTAAAACATAAACCTCACTCTCTCTTTCTCTAATTTATTCATCCTCATCGGAAAACAAATGATGCAATAGACTTCAATTTACAATTTAATTTTTCTTTAGAAATTGTCATGGGTAAATTTCAATGAACTCATTGAACTTATTGAATGTTCCATCAGTTCATAAATTACCTCCATTTGTTTTGATGGATTGAATCTCATTTGATTCCCTTTAGCTGTGCCGCCTCCACCTCACTCAGTTTTGGCCATTAGAGACACAGACACCTCAGTTGTGCTGCAGTGGCAAGAACCAAAAGACAAAGACAACATCCTGGGATATTATCTGTACTACAGCGAAGCAGGAAAACAGGAGTGGAAAACTGTCAACAACAAACCTTTAACGACAACCAGGTAAAAAATAAAATAAAAAAATGACCTATAACGTGTGTCTGAATGCAATTAATAAATGGTTGTAATTATTACATACATTGCCATTGATTCTTATGAGTGTGTGATCCAAGCATGATGTGTCTTCAGGTTTATAGTTCACGGTCTGAAGACTTGGAAGGAATATGTGTTCAGGGTGAAATCTGTGAGTCGAGCAGGAAACAGCAAATATTCAGATGAGTCTCACCCCATCCTGGTCAAATCAGCTATTAGTAAGTTCAAGAAGGATTTTGTGATGTTGCAACAGTTCCTGAAATCTCAGCAGTATGTTTTAATATTTCATTTAAAGCATGCACCCTAAATGTAACCCAGAGTAAACACATCCAGCCAAAAAGAAGTGCTGAAAAAGGTTTGAGGCTCTTTTCAGTGGCATTGAAATCATTTAACTTAGACTCTGACCCATCTGACCCAATACTTATTTACAGTTTGCCTTTTTAGCTTTCAGCAAACAACTATTGGAGAATGTAAAGAGGACCTTTTTCACTTCATATGCACTTTCAGAAACTACATTGTGCTTTGGCAGGTTGCATTACATTGTAATGTTGACAGATTTGGTTCACTGCCATCAAAAATCCATCACAGTCTCTCCAGCTCTGAAATATCCTGGTGGATAATAGCATTAGTCCAGTTCTTTCCAAGAAATGAATTTTTATCAAAGAGAATATGAGCTGAATAATTCCTTTAAACCTGGCACAGATGCAACAGTTTGCCATTCTAGGCAGAATCTCAAGCCTTCTAAGAAAATCTCGGCATTCGTATGTTGTAAAAGCCACGTGCTAAGATACTTTCACCAATATCTTTCACTTTTGTTTGTTTGTTTGTTTTCCCCCCCTCATTTCTGCAGATGTTCCCTCACCTCCCTCGGGTATTGCTCTACTGCTGTGCACCGAATCAGAGATGGTTCTGGGCTGGAGGGCTCCTTCCTCTAACGGGGGAAGCTCTGTTCGCGGCTACTACCTGGACCAGAAGGAGAAGGGCATGGAGTTCTGGAGAGAGGTCAACATAAAGCCTGCCAAAGAGAAGCAGCTCAGGGTTGGTTGTACCTATATTCTTGGATGAAGTTGGTGAATGGTTTTCTAATTACTATAAAACAAAAACAAAATTATTACAGAGATGGCATAAAAAAACTCTCTTTAGCACCTTATATTAGCATTGAGCAAGATTAGCACAATATGAAACCACTGACTAATTAATACTGCACATCTCTCTGAATATACCATTACCATGGTGAAATGGTATAAAGAAAAGAGTAGGTTTCAAAGTCCAAATAGACTTCCAAAAGGATTTTTAGTAACAGCATTAAGGGTTTTGAATGGACGTCTTGAATAGTAAAGTTTTTTATCCACTTTTGCTTTTCTTGCAAATAATTGGCAATAATAGCAAACCATCATTCATTCAATCTGTCTGCGTCACTAGGCAACCTGGCAGTGTCCATGGAGACTCCTAACAAAGTAAAATTGGTATAGTGCTTCACCAAGAATACAAGAGCTCCATAATTAGATATTTTATAAATGTGTGAGAGGCTGTTTTTATCTCCTGAGGGAAAAAAAAATCAAGTACAAAGCCAATTAGAATGAAAATGGCTATGCACAATAACTGACCCCCTCATGTTGTGTCCTGCAGTTTTTAGGACTGGAGGTTGCGTTGTCAGACAAAACTCATTTTGGAACTTTTATAAGAATACAAGAAGCACAAACTATTTCCAGCATGGGGTGTCATTTTAATCAAGATGCTGATTTCTTGGAATCAAATGAATCATTTAAACATAAATTGAGCTGCAATTTGTAATCAAAACAGTTATGCTTCGTGGGATTGGAGCTTTGCTCATGATTTAAGCCTAAAAACCTTTAATTTTCTATACATCAAGAAGAAACCTACAGTCATGGTGAAAAAGAAAGTACTGGTACACCCTCTGTCTGTTTTGAAGCTTAAATGTAGACAGGACCACGCAAAAGAATCACTCTTATGCACAGTCAATATTTGGAAGAAGGTGTTCTGGAAGCTTCTTGTTGTGGGAAAGTCATTCCTCAGCAGGAAAAGGGGAGCTTGTTAGAGTTGATTCAGAACATCCTTGAAGAAAGCTGGTTATTAGAGGATGGGAAAGGTCAGATATTGGTGCAGAGGTTCCCCATCTAGCAGGAAAATAACCCTAAACGTACAAAGAAGAGCCACCGTGGAATGACCCTGATCAGGAGTCTGAAGCTAAAACTCTTGATGGCTGGGTTCCTGCAGCAGTATGACTGTCTACTTCAACATGACTCAAATAATTAGCTCATTAGTTGAGCTCTTTAGAGGTTGACTGCCTGCCAGAAGACAATTTGGCCATTTTATTCAGGTGTGGAGAAGTGAGGATTTAGCTAAAAGTTGCAGGACACGATCTTTTGAAGACTGAAGTTTGAAACCTTTACTTTAGATCAAAGCATGTTAATGTATTAAAATGACTTTAAAGTTCATACATAAATCTATTCAAGAATCTGTGGACAGATATATGAAAATATATCTTTAGAGACTGTCAAATGTGACTGAGATTGAGCTATTTTGCAAAGAGGGTAAAAATATTAGATATGAAAAACTCATAGCTATATATCGAAAGACTTGCAGCATACTTTTAAGAATATAAGTTGTTAAAAAATAAACAACTATGTGTTCATTCTTTTACTCTTCACAATTATGCACTATTTTCTGTTGATCTATCACAAACAAGTCAAACAAAATACACTGAGGGTGGTTGTAACATGAAAATTTTAAGGGATACGAGTACCTTTGACAGGCAGCCATTTATTCTTCACAAGGTTTTAAAATGTTAAGAATGAGAAGATACTTTACAAAAAGAAGAGTAAATTCTCAACATCCCTGGGTATGTAAAAAAAAACTCCCCATTTTAAATTCTAGCAGCACACTTAAAAGTACTAGAAAAAAATTACTCTAAATTTATTTACTTAAAAGAAAACCTCCAAAAGTAAAAGGCTTTTATACATAAAAGGATAGTTTTGGGTGGAAACTATTTCTCAGATTTATTACTAATCCATCATTGTGTACTCACTTTGTAAGTAACGTTTGTTGAGGTTATTCTTTGATTTATTACTTGGGTCCATGGTTCAGTGGGTAATTTGCAAATGTTTTCTTCTAGCCTTCAAGGCTTTATAAATGAAACTATTGATCAATTTTAGAAATGGGGGGGGGGAAATCAACTTGCAAGTCTGTAACCGGATTGTTTACATTAATGTTATTAAAAAAAAGTGGAATAACTTTAGTTGTCAGATATACGTATTGGCAACAAAGATTATTTCACCTGATCATTAGAGCAGCAGGTCGAGTATCCAAACAGACAACTTTTCTTCCCAGAGAACAAAGGTTAATCTATCAGTCAGTCAAATGTAGCCTGATTGCCCCCTGGTGGCAGAAGTTTAATTTTAAAGACACTACCCATGCATTTCTCGTGCTGGGACTGTACATCGGTCTGATTGATTTGTTGTTCAGTTTAAATATATCATGCAGGAAAGGATTTGCACCTAATGAAGAAAGGTGCAGGTGTGACATAGCAGCTTTCAGATAGCAGCTGCTGCTGCTGTTATGAAAAAGCTCCCTTTGCTGAGGTCAATTAGTTCCTCGGAGATAGGCAGAGGCTGTGGAGGTTCGCAGCTGTTCGCCGAGGCGATAAGGGCCTTAGAGTCTAAGTGGCTGTGAATAGGCGGATCAATGAGCAGATCAATAGGCCTGAATCCCTTCACCTCTTCCCCTCCGAGCGAAAAATGTCTCAGGAGCTCAGAAACATGTTTCAGCACCAGTAGAGCTAATAACTTGTAAATAGTCTTCTAAATTCCTGAATCAGACAGAGTGAAGCTGTACAAGTGGAGAACATTTCCCCCTGATTGGACTTTTGTATTTATGTCTCGTTAAAACTAAGTAAAATTAGCAAAGTAAGATTGATGAGGTTTTCATTGTAATTTGAAAAAAAAAATAATAATTTACAAAGCTGAATTTAAAACACACAAAAACTACGAACGAGTAAATAATAAAATGATTTGTTTTAAATGTATTGCATTTCTAAAAATAAATTCATGACAGCAAAGTAATAAAGGAAAAGTTTGAAGAAAAAGGAAGAGTTATAAACGTCAGACCAAATTAAACAAATTGTTTAAAAGAAAAAACGTTTCCACTGAGATAAGTTATGTACCTGCTATCTGGGAACAATGAGATCCAGTGGGATAATGGGGAACAATCGGTTCTTTGAGATAAGATGGATCAAGGCCATTCAAGCCTATAAAAGTAATGAGGATTTTAAAATCCATTCTAAATCACAGAGACCCAAGGCAAAGAGGCTAAGGTGAGAGGAATGTGATATTTCCTGGGTATCACTGCAGGCAGTCATCACTCTGCCTGCAGCATTGGAGATCTGCTGGAATAAAAAGGAGGCAATCTTTTAACTCCAAGTAAAGTTGTTTTGTAGTAAAGCTGAGATTTGACGAATGCATGGAGATTTTTCCAGTACTCCACTAAGATGGAATGGCTTATAGGAATATATCACTGATGGTAAACATTTAGCATGTTGTAACCATTTTTTTAAATTCTTGTAAAAATATATATGTATATATTTACATGCAATGTCACATGCATCAGCTTTGTTTGTCTGCAGGTATCAGACTTGAAAACTGGACATTTCTACCAGTTCCGCGTCTTTGCTGCCAACGCGGCTGGCGTTGGGAAGCCGTCTGACGCCAGTGAAGCGTTTCTGTGCGAGAAGTGGACAATGCCAGAACCAGGTGAAAGCTAAACTCTCATCAAATCCAAGCAAATGCATCTCTGCTTATGTGAATGCTTAACAGTTACATCCAACAATTGCAAACCTTAGAGGTATTATTACAGGATGATTAAAAAAAAAAAATAAATAAATAATTATTCCAGATATAAAAACAATTACCTGCAGTGAATTAAGAAAAAAATCTCATGTTTGCAGGGTTAACTAAAGATTTTATGTCTCTATACTTGTTAGTTGTGGACAAAATCTTGTTTTTGTTTACAAACTTCCCTGCCTCCGTTTTTATGGCTTCAGTTTGCATCAAGTCAGGGTTGCTACTGAATGACTAAAGGAATCAATGCAAAGTTCATGAAAGTCAATGACAATTTACTTAATCACTAAAACCTAATTTGCTCTGTGTTTTAGCCCAGCCAAAAATTACCTGCTTTTAGTGATTTTCTCATTAGCCCAGGGGAAAGATTATTGAAGACAGAGTAACTGATAGACATCACTGACAGCATGATTGAATTAGAAGAGCAGAGTGGTTGCTTTAAAAATGGAAATCCTTCTTCTGTTCTCAACACAAACGGCAAGGCTATTGCACCCATTCATTGAACAATCAAGGACCTCAAGCAGATAAGTTTACTCTGGTGAAGAAAGATCCAGATTGATCAAGAATGTCCAGAATGTGTCCTAAAGATGATTCAACTAAGTGGTCTGGTCACCACCAGTGGAGAGTTTGCTGGAGACTGGCAGATGGCATGTGTGAGTTTTTCTGCATGCACAGTTGGACAGAGACTTTCTGACTGAAAGAGAACAGCAAAGAAGCCACTTCTCTGGAAGATGAACATCAAAGACAGACAGAAACTCTGCAGGAAATACCAGGATTATACTGCAGAGCAATAGTTATTTTCTCTGGCTAAGTCCCTGTTTGGAATAAAAGCTAGAAGAAAAGTTGAACACTCCCAGGAATCTGCCTGTATTTATGTTATTCTTTGCAAAAGACATATTATCAAACCAGCCAAAATGTGATTAGAGAAGCCACGACTGGTAGCAATTTGTGTTTGCTGTAGCAATGCTTTTGGTAAGTAAATGAAACATCCTGCCCAGTGTTGCTTATGAAAGGCTTCAGTTATGTCATCACCCTTAAGGCTACTGTTATCGTTCTGTTTCTATCAGACCGAATCGCACATAAATTACTGTGATGAAATCCTTAAGGTTAAATTCAGACAATGATTTCCAGAACTTTGAGTAAAAGTTTGGTAATTATTTATGGGAGTGTGGTCTCCTCGTTAGGGATCTGATTCTATGACCCTCGACTTTACCCAATGATACAAAAATGATTTGGTGCTATTTTTTGTTTTGTTTTGTTTTGTTTTCAAAGTACAGCACAATGGCACAATAAAAAAATGGTTAAGCAAGTGGCTAAGGATTAAAGCACTTACATTTCAAGTCTACATCCTAGAATCTGATTCAGTCGAGAACATCTAATTGTGTCATTATTTAAGCTATGATCAACCAAGAACTGATTACTACGAATCATAATTTGGCTCAAATGCTGATGTTCTGCATGGTAACCTGTAAATATTGACACTTTGCATAAACCTGTTGTGTTTCTCAATAAAAACCTTTGGAAGATAGTAAATGTTTATTACCAAACATCAGTATAACGTAGAAAAAAGAAACACTTAGGGAGGAACATTTCCTGCTAGCTACAATTTTAGACTCAACAGCTACAAACAGTTGGCAGACAAAGCTAGTTTTGGATTTCACAACTTGCGCAAGCAAAAGTGACAACAAAGGCCGCAACTTATTGTTAAATTAAAGACGAACTCCACGGTTAAAAATCAGCCATTCCCATGTGATTCATTAACCTAAGAGCTTTGGGAATTTGAGCATCCGTCAATACTCTGCTGCCCTGCAGTTTCTACAATCTGTTTATTGACCCTAGCTGCGGAGGAGAGGGGAGATAGAAATAAACACCATCCATCACCTGCAGAACCCATTTCCACTTGCTGCCATTTTTACTTTTATTTAAGCTGCATCTCTAATAGCGTATGTAGTCATCTCGCAGCAAAATAAACAGGGCAGTATGAAATACCAGGATAATAATATGCTGCCTGCCTATTGTACCATTAAAGCACACAGTAATAGCCGAGGTCAGTGGTTAAATGAATAGTAAAGTGGTTGAAATTGCAGCATTGAGTTAGAATTAGCTATTAACTATTTACCATGCGTGGTCCATGTTTGATTTGTTCTTGAATATCATTGCTGGTGGGAAATTTATAATGAGAAATAATCATTTAACTCTTAACAGCACATTATTAAAAGGGTACATGTTTCATAAACATGCGCTGTAATTTCAAAATACTGTATAATTACCTGAACCACTCAACACAGAAGCAGAAAAACATAAATGATTCAACCTTTTCATAATCTTATAAACTTATATTGCTCACGTTTTTTTTTCTTTCTTGAACTCTGCCTACTTTTCTCCCATTTTCAATCACATCCTCTTACTTGAACATAACAGATCCTGTGAAAAGAGGAAAAAAAAGTTGGAAAAGTAGAGACCAAAGAAAAAATGGCATCTTCTGCAGATAAATTTTACCTGTAGCATATCATCAAAGAATAGCAGCCAGGACCCAAGTGATTAAAATCCCTCAGTTTTTAATTGGCTGTTTATATCTAAATGCTTAGCTGATAATAATGATCAGAAGTTTTACTTCAGGCTTCCTGCATCTTCAAATCTGTTCCTGGCAAGTCTTTGGAAGGAGCTTATTTCAGTCTCTTGCGTGACCTTGGTCCTTGGGTCATGATCTGTATCTTATAACTGTAGGCGAGGATTGGAACATAAGTCTGATCGATAAATCAAAAGCTTCTCTTTAGGCTCAGTTCTTTCTTCACCAAAACAGAGCAGAGCCCACATTACTGCAGATGAGGCCCTAACCTGTCAGTCCAGGTCTTGCTCCATCCTACTGATGATCAGAACATCAAGATACTTTAACTCCTCTGCTACAAGCAAAGGCAGGGAGGGAAACCAATGTGTGAGTTGAAAATGGCAAACCCATCTGGCAGAGTCTGATGGGTCTGGCCCCCTTTTTACTGGATCTTTGTTGCCTTTGACATTAACTGCATTGTTATAGCCTCATTTGTAAAACACTTTTAATAAAAGCATCTATGAATGGACATAATTTGATGTTAAACACAATTCAGTTACTTTTAGCTTGAAGAATATCCAAGTTAAATGTTAGAATTAACCATGTAACTTTTCCCCTTCTGAGGTTTCTAGATCACAAACATTGCTGATAGTGTGCAACAGACATAAGACTAGTGTTGTCAAAGACTTTTACACCAGTAAATTAGTAAAGCAAGCAAAAATCAAAGCAGTTGAGTTCAGGAGACCATTTTGTACCTAAATTATTCAAATGAAAAACATTTCTCAGATAATGATCAGGTTCTAGACAGAAAATTAACAAAAACAGATAAAATCTGTAGAAAACCCTTGAATTTTTTTTTTTCAGATTGCACAGAGAACAAATTAAACCAGAAAATGATGACTGATGAAGTGTTGAAAAGGGAAGGATCTTCTTAAAGAGACAGAGACCAATTTCAAGGCTTCAGATACACCATCATGCAAAGTCAAAAGTCTTTTATGTTATTTTTATAACAACTAAAGGTAGAACAGTGAACCAACTTGACTGTGCTATAAAATAACACTATGTTCTTGAAAGATACATAATACCCTCCCCCATTTAAACAAAGTATAGATCTCTGCTCCTTTCAGATATACAGACAGATTTTGAGCAATTTCATTTTCGCCGTAAGAACCGTGAGACAAAAACAATCATAGAGTTGAAATTTCTTTATTATCTTAAAATTATTACTGTTTGTAGCATTACCAAACAGCATTCTCTGTGGATTGCCTAAATAATTCAGACCCTTGCTTTCAGTCAGAGGCTTCCAAGGTGGAGTAATATTTCCAAACCCATATTGTTGGGTTTTGCATTACCTTCAACTGTACTGTAAAACAGAGAATCTTTGTTGTTTGAAGAACTTTTAGTAAAAGGGCAGGCAAACAGAGAAGAGGAAAAGGTCCCAATGCCCAGTTCCTTATTTCTGAACTTTGATGGTCCAATTTAATCCAAAGACCAAATCAAAGTCCAGAATGTAGAAATCACTACTTGGAAGGAGAGCAGAGTTCAGTCACCAAAATGATGCAATAATAAAAAAATAAAAAAATAAAAAGTCCAACTCACTATCTTCAACAGGGGAAAGGCAGAGGAAGGGTCAACAAAACAGTCCAGGGCAGAATCGCAGATATCGGGGTAATTGCTTGAACTTGTGCTGGAAAGCTGAAACAGGGCTGCAGCCGACTTGGCAGAGGGCAGAAGGAAACAGATCAGTTTTATAAGCAGCAGGACAGAAGCAGACAATCAGGCAATTACAGGGAGAGTAATTGATGCATTCAGGACTATCTGGGAAAACACACATCAGCTGCAACCATTACATCTTTAATTTGGATTTTTTTTAAAAGATGAAGTTTGAAGGCAGTAGACACAGCTCTTGTTTCTCCTTAACAGATCTCAATAGGCTCGCAATAGGACCCGGTTTCCTATCGCAAACATAACTAGTTATGACAAATCTTGGGATTTGAGGAGATCGTGTTGACTTTATTTGTATATAAAATTAAAAATTTTTATTATACATATTATTAATATAAACGTTACCGCCACATACTAATTCACCCGATCTTTAGAAGTATGTGGCAAGTGAGTGGAGAAGACATTTGCTCAGTCCTGTATTTTGTGCCATTAATATAGGAAATGGAGACAGGCTCGGTAAACTGAGCAGCTCATTAATCTTGGCAAATGGGCTTTTCCTCTATAACATCGATAATTTAAAAGTGGCTAAAAATCAATCTGCAAATTGACTACCACGTGCAGCATTGGAGTCAATCTGGGTAGATTGGGAATCTATGACCTTATTTTCAACTTGACTCATATTCATAATTTATTTGTGGCTTGCAGATGTTTCCTGTGTGTTGCTCATCCAGTTCTCTGGTCCTCAGGTTGCCCGTATGACCTGGAGCTCAGGGAGGTGAGAGACGACTCCCTGGTGCTCCGATGGGCGTCTCCGCTCTACGAGGGTCAAAGTCCGGTCAGTGGCTACATGCTGGAAATGAGCCAGGGAAACCAGTCAGACAACTGGACGATTCTGACTGCCAAACCTGTTTCTGAAACTCATTTCAAGGTGAGAAGTGAAAAAAAAAAAAAACATGTTTACTAAAGGGGCATGGCAGACTTAACTTCAAAGTATATTAAACAGAAGTGTATATTATTCTTGCATAACCCAATCGGAAGAAACTGCTCATATCTATGTCTGCAGCGTCAAGGTTTAAATCATTAATTGAGTTATGTCAGTGAGTTGTAAACAATGACTTTGCTTCCTGTGGCATCAAGGTGACAGGTCTGCAGACAGGTCACACCTACTGCTTCCGTGTGTCGGCTGTTAATAATGCAGGTGTTGGTCGTGCTTCCCTGCCCTCTGAGCCGGTCACAGTTCAGACCCAACCAGGTCAGTTTACTGGACTGATATTAGAATACAACTTTCTATAAACCTGTTCTGTCATTGGTTTATTAGCCTAACCAGGCCAAATTTGTCTATGGATAAGAATACTGAAGAGGACCTTGAATAGCACATGTTATTTGCCTGTTAAATAAAATTAAGAAATGATTAGATTGTCATAATATAAAGCTAAATTTAGCTCCCCAGAAGGCTGAGGGTTAGGGTTAGGGTAACATTTTCCTAAAATATTACATTTTTCTGTTAAACAAGCAGGCCCTTTATAGAAACTTGCCAGATGTATTTCATGATGATTTTTTTGGCAACTAGAAATGTTTTTAAAAAGCTGAAAAAAGGAGAAAGTGTGAAGAGTTTCATCTATAGCAGTATTATGTCTTTAAGAAAATTGAAGTTCTTTAGAACACTTCCTAAAACCTTGTTAGGCTTTGATAAACTAACCAGCCCATGCCTAGTCGTCACAGCAGTTTTGAATTTTTCAGGAACCAAAGAGATTAAGATCGGTGTGGATGACGATGGGTTTATATTTTTGGGCTACGAGGCTGTTGAGATGAACGACGACAGCGAGTTTATCTGGGGCAAAAATTACACAGAACCCATCGATTCTCAGAGAACGAAAGCAGAAACCACAAAGAACAGGTAACATTACAACAAGCAACTGAGTTAGGTTCCGTTCAGTTACTACTTAATTAATCATGACACATTAGTTATATTTTTGAGCTTTAGCTTCTTTTTTTTTTTTTTTTTTTTAGCACAAAGTCTGACAGCAGACAGAGTCTACAGCAGACCTTGCTACAGACTCCAGAACACAAAGCTGAGTCTACTTAATTTGTCTTTTTACTTTATTGTTTGTCTATCAGGTCAGTTCTCACTTTCAAAGACCCATCTGAGGAAGACCTGGGTCTGTACACTGTGGAGATGAGTGACAGTCCTCAGCTCTCATCCAGCTATGAGTTTACAGCTGAAGGTACTTCCTGGACACCAGTAACCAGAGTCTGATTTTAGGAATTAATTATTGTTTCTTCTCAGATATTGCCTTTACTTATCCCTCTACAATATCACCAGAGAAACACACTTTACTATTCTGTTTTGTGTTTCCGTTAAAGGTAATCTAACCTTCTACGTCTATATATTCTTTTGTCTTCTTTTATTTTTAGACCTCGCACGTCTCAAAGAGCTCAGCTGGCAGGTCAGAAACCCATGTATGTATCATCACTGAGGTGCAGAGGTGCTGAAGATCCAAACCTCAATAATCTATTATCCTGCTATATATTATTTAAAGTATGCAGGTTTAATGCTGTTTTATAAGTTTTATGACCTGACCTGATCTGTCTTTGATTTCACTCTGCAGTGATTGCACTGAAGTCAACTTGGCAAGTGGAGGTGTCTGAGAAAGGCGGCGTGCGCCTTTGGCTTCAAACCGAGAGTCTGAGTAACTCTGCTGAACTCCGTCTTGTTTTTAACGACCGGGAAATCTCCACCTCTCCGGTAGGTTTCCTCCGTTGACAGATACCTCATCAGATGACGAGCTGCAAGTTCTTCGTTTGGATTGTTGGATCTAATGGTTGAAGCCAGGTTGGATCAGTCAACTCTGTGATCTCCTTCTAGTCGATATTATTTATGGGAGTCAGAGAAACATTATGGAAAATCACTTCAAATAGATTTTTATGAAGCCATGTGAAAAAGAATGTTGCAAAGGCACGACGATGGCAAATGGCCACGTGAGGAAAAGCTGATTTAAATATTCTGTATGTTTTTTTTTCTCTCCCTCTAACATTTGAATGTTTACATTATTAATAAAACAATATGAAGTATTCAGGATTTAAAGTCAGGGACTCAGAATAACATTTTAGTCCAGAATCTCCACGTTGTCACTAATATTGGTTTCTAAATACCAATATTATAGTAAAAAAAAAAAAAAACATTTCAATTACAGAAGCCTGTGATCAGATTTAAGTGTTATCTACTCTGTCTTCAAGTTTTAAACACAAGGAAAGTCACACACAAGCTTGAAAGAGTTTTTTTGGTTTCTGTATTACCAATGAGTTTATGTGTGCATCTGTCTTCCTAACAAGTCAGCGTGAGCCCAAAACAGCAATTAATGCTCCAATAAACATCCTGCAAGGCAGGAAGTAGATGCTGTCAGCAAAGATGAAGAGCAGGTGAGTACGGCAGCAGAGAAGTCTGGAAGCTCAGTTAATTTAATTAAGTGAGGAAGACGAGAAGACCGCCTGAGGTGAAGATGGAGATAGCACTCGCATCTGAAAAAAACATGTCACACTTGGTTAGTTGCTGGAGAGAGACTCCAACAGGCAATATTGCTGAATTTTTTTTTATTTTATTTTATTTTATTTTTAAGTTGGTAAATCAATAAATACAGAAGGAGGTAAGGCAATAACTGATGTCTTAAGAATAAAATTGTTTATTTTTGTCCTTCCTAAACAGGTGGACCCCTACATTGATTATTGTTTTTTGTACACCGTGTAAAACCTCGGATCATGTCACAGTCCTTATATTTGAGCATAAAATGTGTAAATGAATCAGTGTCGTTCTAACAACAGACAATTTTAGAAAAAAATATTCTTTATCTTAGTTATCACAGTTATAGTCAGGGACAGACACTGAATGCGTGAAACACCAACTTTTTTTTGGTGTTTCACAAAAATAATAATACTCACTTACTTTTGCCATGTAAACCTAAGCAACCTAAAAATGATTTGATATTCCTACTAAACAGCTTACAGTTCAACATAGAACAACCTTCTATTTCTATTCCTTAAAACTTAGTTCATTTCCCAAGCAACTTGTATGTGAATTCTGTTCTCTCTGAATAAGCTATACATTCATGTTTGGAGCAGTCAGTGTAACACATGGTTTATTTTTATATATTTATACCCTCATAGCTCTTGGCTTAAACGTTATATCTATGTGCTTCATGCATATTAAATGAGGGGAAAAAGCAGTCAAAGTCCATTTGAAACCCTGAAGAACTTTGATCAAGATCACTTTGGAAGATTAAACAGAAATCTTGAGTTTTCAGCTGTGATCATAAAGAAATTATGGGCTAGCTTAAAACTTTTGCACAGAGATGTAAATGTCTGACATAACCTCACATGGGTCTGAGAGTTCCAGTCCCAAAAGTTACTGATCTCGCCCTGTCATAAACTAATCATATTTAGAAGAAAGATAGATGGTTTCACCTGGTATTTAAAAAGAAAGAAAAAGCATCCAGATATCCAAAGACATCAGCACTGTAATCATCAGTGAACATCAGCTGGATGTAAACATATTTAGCATATGTGTACGTTATGACAACAAGCTGAATATAATCATCGCCGCTGTCCCGTCCGAGTTATCGAACGGCGTTCTGAGGCGGCCGCTGGGAGAGCAATGAACACAACCCCGAATGTTTATTGTGTCTCTTGGTTGTGACTGCTTTACATTCAGTGACTTTCATTTTGTTCCATTATTTCCCAATATGAGGGCTCCGTCTGAACAGTACTGATTATACATTATTTCTAAATGATCACAGCTGAGGTTTGCAAATGCAGAAGCCATTTAACTGATTAGGGCCCTTGGGCTTGCCATACATCACAAATCACTTCCACCAACTGAGGCCTATCAACATGCAAGGCATACACTTAACTTGATGAGCATAAAAGCAATGAAAATGAGCTCGAGGTCTGTTCCCTCTGTGTCGCTGCTTGCATGTTTGTTTGTATGTTTGCATTTTTTAGAGAACAGAAATATTTTATCACCAGAGCGCAGATGTTTCTCCAGACCCTTTGCACTCTGATTCATGATGCATTCTCTTTGTACAAGGAGCCATCTTTACAGAGGATACCAAACCGCTCGGGGGGCGAGCTGCCTGATTATGAGCTGATGAACGTTGCCTGCAGTGACATTTGTTTGTTTTTCTGCAGCGCCGTAAGATAAACTTCGACAAGGCCAAAGGTCTGGTGGAGATACTGTTTGATCAGCTCTCTCAGGAGGACGAAGGCTCATACACCGCCCAGCTGAGGGACGGCCGCGCCAAGAACCAATGCACTTTGGTCTTTGTGGATCAAAGTGAGTCATAAATTCACCCAACCACAGAGTTAGTCATTTTGCCTGCATTATGTATCACTGGGAAATACCAGCTTTGATTAATTGCAGCATTAAAAAAGGAATCAAAAGGGAAAAACTGCACAGAAAAACATTGTTGAATTTAAAAGATTCTACTCTTAGATAAAAATGAACAGATCTGCAAAATCAGAAAATATTTTAAACAGATGTATTTTTCTGTTTTAATTTGACCTCTGCTTGCTTTTAGAGTTTGTTGCAACAGTAGTCATACTCCTCTAACTTTAAGTTTCTCACATTCCAACAGCAACTTTTTAAAATGTATTTCACTGGGATTTTTTTGTGATAGTCCAGTACAAAGGAGTGCAGGATTTTGAAGTAGGTGAAAAGTGACATCCTTTTCAAACATTTTTACAAATAAAAATCTGAAATGTGTTTCATGCAAAGACATTTACCAAATTTTTACTAGATGCAAATAATTTTTCTTCAGCTTCACTGAGTTAGTCAGTTACTTAAAATCTAAAATAAAAAAAAATGTTTATGTATATGATGGTAATAAGACCAAGGTGAACATGCTCAATGTAGCCATATATTGAGCATGTTCACCTTAGTACAGTTTTACAGTCTAGTCTGTTGTATCTTATTAGAGTTTCGTGAGATACTGGCCCAGGCTGACTGGAATCGAAGGGACATTCAGAGAAAGACTGGTAAGACATCCTTAAAAAGCACAACTGACAGTAAATTAATAAATATTGATCATTCCTTACTTAAGGATGATTACACATTGCTTGAATCAACAGTGAACAAACATAAAAGAACACATAGCCAGAGGAAGATTTCTTTTCTTATGTTATGTATAGTTGGATTGTTATATGCTTTTGTCCCATGTAAATATTATAGAAACCAGGATGTCAAAAACACATTTTAACAAGAAGAGGGAACGTTAATAAAGGAGAAAAGTAAATGTGATAGCGTTAGCCAAAAGGCAAATATTCATGTGTTGTTCCTGGAATAAAAGATTTAGAGCTCTGAAATCTGTGCTTTATCTCCTTTCATCTCCATTTGTTGTGTATGCACAGAGGCCAATGTCCTAGTGGACACTTGTGCAAGAATCTCACACAATTTGTGTTTACTATTGTAAATCCAAGTTAGACTCAAAGTGTACAGGTGCTCTTTTTGTTCAATACAGCTAGAATATTTCCATGCAAAAGAGAAATAAAACCACAGAATGATTTTATTTTATTTTGCATTGATTTAAAAAGTGATGGCATAGATAATTTTGTGTTTCTCTTTTTGCTGTTAGTGCGTTGATAGATCATTCTAGTATAATTTAACGTAGCTTTTATAAATGTGTGTTTTTATATGTTGTTTATTGTGGCTCAAAATAATTTGTTCCTTTTCTTCCAAGGACCTTATTTCCAGGAATTTTTGACATGGAGTGTGAATAAGGATTGTGAATTAATTATACAATGCAAGGTACTTTTATATCTCCTGCGTGAAAATTCCTGACTGTAGTGAGACAGTGCTGCTAAGATCATTGTAAGAGTGAAAATTCAGCTATTTTAGTACAAAGACCAATGGCAATTAGAAATTATTCTGTATTTTATTAATTGTTTAGAATATTCTGGGCAAGTTAGACTATTATTCTCACTCTTTGAATAATGTCTGATCTTGAAACATTGCTTTTTTTAAAAAAGGATGAAGAAAAACAGCAGCATACTTTTACTAAAGATCAGAAAAATTCTTCTGTTTTTGAATACCCTAATGGAAAAAAAAAACATCCACCAAGTCAAGATTGAGTTCATGATCTGAGTAAAAGAAAAATAGCTTAAAATGTAGAAGTCTCTTTGTTGTTGCACTCGTTGCTGCCTAGTGTATCACCAGCAGTTCATAGGTATAAGCCAGAGTTAGTTCTGCACATGGTACCAGGTTGGTTTAGAAATCTTTTTACCTTAGTAAATGAGAAAATCTTTGCATTATTTAAAAAAAGCAAAAACAGAAGAAATTCGAAAAACACAAATGCTCTTTTTCACAGCACTTTAAACAGCATTTTATAGAGTTTCTTCAGGGGGTTAAGAATTTTGACCGAAGTAACTCTGTAAGAGAAGAAAAACAGGTTGCAGTTGTAATGGTGCAGTAAAATAAAATAAATTATTTAAAGCTTTTCTACACACTTAATATTTAATTACATAAAAAGATGTTCAACAGAACAAAAGGACAGTCTAAAGCCTTAGAGCCATCAGAAAGCAAATATAATGACAAAACAGAAAGTGGACTGGGGTTTAGGCTCTGTGCAGAGACATATGGTGGAAACTTTTATTTCTGATTAATATCTTCTGACTTTATTAATCTGATGATGATATTATGTTATGTTTATATTTTAACGTTTATTAATTTTCACCATATGAACCTGTCTGAGCTCCTAGAAAAATTGTTTTCTGCAGCTACAAGGGAGCCAGACTGTCTCTTGTTTGCTTCTGGTTCTTTGTCCTCGGTATAACAACGATGTGTTGACTCTGTCTGGCAGGGCTTTCACTGACCTGTTTATCACGAGTGTCAGATTTTGTAGGCTTTAATATCATGCATGCGGTATTAATAAACCTGACAGAGTGATTTTCATTTAACGGTGCTTGGATACTTTTTTTTTTCCCATAACATGATTGGTATCTCCTCGTTAACAGGTGACAAACACAAATAAGGACACGTCTTTCAAGTGGTTTAAGGATGGTCTGGAAATTAAAGACCTTTCTTATGATCAGACAACTGGGATTATCTCGCTCTCAATCTCACAGGTAATGGAAAAAGATGAATCTCGCCCGTCTCTCTGTATTAGAAATTACATTCATAAACTGTAGCTGACACTGAGAAGCAACATAATAGCGACTCACGGTTGATAATTAAAGGATAAAGTCTAGACAGATACTATACATCAGTGTGTCAGTTTTAAAGTTAGCTTGAGCTGAAGTTAAATATGATATTAATCATTTTGGTTTTCTACAGATATATTAAATTGTGGATTTCAAATGAACTTCCTTTAGGTGACGAAGAAAGAGGCCGGTTCATACAGAGCTGTGGTGTCAGACAGCCGAGGAGAGGATGTCAGCACCTTGGAGTTACTAGACAACGGTTCGACGAAACCTCATTACACAAACACGCTTCTTCCATCCGTAGTGGAAATGAAGCAATTAGAATTATAAGTAATCAAGTTCTGGTACAACAAGCTCTCTGAAGATGTATTTTTGTTTGTTTACAGAGTACGACAAGCTTCTCCAGCAGCTGAGTGAACAATGCGGTGAGTTGCACACAGTTGATATGAAGTGTCCTGTGTTGTTACACAGGCATGCCATTTTAATTAACTATGCTATATCCACTCTGCTCCCTCCATTACGTTTATTACGCAAGACAAAAAGCTATATTTTCAACCTCACAAATCAAAACACACACAAACATGTACCAATAAGTAAGTAATCAAGAGTTCTGACTGCAGCATTGTCAGCCGGTCCGCTGCGGATTGAGAGCACTGCCGAAGGTTTCAAGATCTACTCCAGCCTCAGATACTACATTAGCTTCCTGAAGACAAGCTGGTACTTCAAGTAAGTCTGAGTACAGAGCATCATTCTGACCAACATCCTGTGAGAAGCCAATACTTGGATTCCATCATTTGTATTTCCATCCTGTGCAGTGTGTTTTCCAGGTCTGGATTAGTACAATCCTAATCAGAGATTTTTTTTTTTTTTTTTGTCAAATATTTATCACAAACATGAAAATCAGGTTAAGTTAGACAATTTATCTGAAGCACTGTTTTCCAGGTAGAAGTGATTATACAATGTATCATTTCAGTAAATTGAGTTTGAGGATTTTCTTCTGTTTGGCAAGGATCAACATTACCATTTCCAGTAGAGCGGGTAAAATGAACTTTGAGCACACATTCTCGATTTAACTATTTCTAATAGTTCAAATGATGTAAAATAATTCAATAATAATTCACACACACAACAAAACGTTAATTTTGCAAGCTGAACCTCATTCACATTTATTTTGAAAAGACCACCATGTTACGGGATAAAATCAGACTCAAGCTGATCAGAAATTGTAAACTGCTGGAATGCCAGTTTCACTGTTTGCAGTGAAATGAGTTTTACTTGGTGTTATCATGAACTGAGAGGCTGCGAATGAAGAAAGACCCTGCTCCAAAATCACCACCTTCAGTCAATACAAATATTTTGAGTCATTCTATAAAAATATTTTCTGGTCAGGTAAGATAATCACGGAGCTGTGACAATGAAAAGAAGCATGTAGAGGAGTCAAGATGAGATTTTAAGAAAACCGTATGGTCATATACGCTCAGTAAAGTTTTTATCCATTTTAGCAATGTCTTTAACTTTTAAAATTCCTTTTACATTTGACCCACTAATTTTATAAAACATAAACTCAAATTTATGTCATACACACACGTCAATATGAAACACCAGGTTCACCCTGCTGCCAGCGTTATAAAATGACTTTTCGTGAAAGGTTTTCAGTTAGATGTCCTTTTTTCACATTTTTACAATTATGATTACAGTTTTTTAAGCAAAATGAAAGAAAAGGACCTCTTAGATTAGTTTAGTTTCAGAACTTCGTTTTCACTCAGTTTTGGTTTGACAGGTTAAAAAATTGTTTCTTAAAGGGGCTATAGCACCACCTGCTGGAAGACTTTAAGAAGTTTAACACTCATGGATTAAATTTGAGTTTTTGAAGCTTCAAAAATCCTTGTTAAAAAAAATATATCGCATTTCAGCATCTAGATGAGATTTAGGTTACTTTAAATGTGGCATGTGTGAGACGAGCTGGTCTGAGTATTTAAAAAAAAATACTCATGCAAGTGTCTTGTCGATGTCAGAGATCAGAGAAGAATCCGAAGACTGGTTTAAGATGGTACAAAGGCAGCACTGACTCAAATAGCTTGATACTAACAAGGTACGCAGAATGCCATTTCTGAATGCAGAACATTTTAGCGCAGGAACTAATTGGGCTGCAGCAGTATAAGTAAATGTCAGTCCTGTCACATAGGAACGTTAAGCATAGGCTACAGTTTGCATGGATTTACTGAAGTTGAACATTATGCATATTTTTAAAACATTGTCTGGTGAAAAGAGTCCTATTTCTACCTGCGAAGTGCAGATAGTGATGCCAGAATTTGGCATAAAAAGTATGAACGCATAGATCTGTCCTGCAAACAAACAGGATAGATCTGGTCCTGCCTTTAATAAACAAACAGGCAGGACGTAACAGTGTAACTGTGTAACATTCTGGGAAACATTTTCTTGGCACATTTTGAGTCTTTCTTGCACCAACTGAGAGTCCAACGCCATGTTGACCTTGTTCTTGCCTTTGTAACCACAGAGTAATATTCTGTTGTCATCATGCAGTCTTATAAAGTTTGAATCCTCTCAAACTGGTTTTCATTTTAATACAGATCTCAGTCTAATAGGCCATCTTTGCATTTGGTGGAATAGTAAATTCCCATCATTCATGTGCAGCTGAAAAATCTGCAGTAACTGTGTGATCGCATCATGTCATTATGGACAAAAATCTATAATATCTTGATACACCTTGTTGAATGTATGTTATGAATAATTAGGCAGTTCTGGAAGTAAAAGAGGCTCTAAATTGGTACAAGCAAAGTGTAACTAATAAAGTGCCTGATGAGAGTAAATTGTATGTTGCAGTAGTAGTGTATGTATGTAAACAGTAGATCTGTGCTTCATCCTGTGCTTTAGGGGGAGAAATATTGATCAAGAGACCAGGACAAAGCCAGGCAGCAGTATGCAAAAAGTCTGGATTGAAATCTTAAACCCAACAGAGAATGACAAAGGTGAATACATCTTGGAGATGTTCGATGGCAAAGAGACACACAAACGGCTCTATGAACTGTCCACAGAAGGTAAGGCGCTGGTTTAAAACAAAATTCTATACAAATAAGATAATCCAAGGCGCAGAAATTAGATTGTCCATGTTGTGAATCTTGTTGTGTCTTTCAACAGCATTTGCTGAAGCCTTGCTGGAACATCAAAGGTTAAAGTAAGTGCATTGATTCAAGGGAAGAAGTTTGAACGTTTTGCTGTGTCAGTAACAGAAAACATGAATGAATCTGAATAAAACAGTTACAACAAAACAAACAAGTGCAGAGTTAGCTTGTTTGAAATTGGTACAGTGCAGTGTAAGCTTAAGCTGACTGTCTAATTTCATCCCTTAGGCAACTGGCCATTGCTGAGAAAAGTAAGTACCGTGTGATAACCCTCACACCATATGTTTTTGTTTTTATTTGAGCTTAAATGATTTTTCTTTGGGTATCAACTCAGATAATATTCCCTGCTGATTTTCAGATCGCGCCAAAGTAGTAAAAGGGCTTCCAGATGTTGTAGCCATCATGGAGGGCAAGGTAAAGCGTTGTCAGAAATTATAAATAATTATAAATTATAAATACCTCACACATTCTCTATTGCCAACCATTTTTGTTGTGATATCTTCTCAGTCTCTGTGTCTGACATGCTTCATTGATGGCGACCCAGCTCCTGAGATCTTCTGGCTACGGAATGACAGAGAAATCCTTGATCAGACTCAGTTTACCATCACGAAGGAGTCCAAGCGCACCTCCATCACCGTCAACAAGGTTACCACGGAGGATTCTGGAAAGTATAGTATCTTTGTCCGCAACCAGTATGGCTCTGAAACTGTTGATGTGACCTTGAGTGTGTACAAGAAGGGTGACAAACCTCCAGCTAATGCAGTAGAGATGGGTTAAACTTGCAAATTGGAGGAAAGCCCCAGTTTTACCCAGTCAGATATTTTATTTTATCCACCAACAGAAAGTAGGACATCATGGTGATGTGGGAAGAAAATGATACAAAATTTTGAAATTCTTTTACAAATTCTTTTATGAGCACAGCTGGGCAAATACCTTATAAAATACATTTTTGCAGCAATTAAAGCTGCAAATGTCTTAGGTTATGTAAGCTTTGAACATCCAAGTTAATTGCAAATTATCTCAGTCAAGCTGAATAGAGACCATCTGCAGACATCAGTTTTCAAGCAGTGACAATGGACTTCTGAAGGCAATTGGTTAAACTTCATGTAGAACAGTCTGGGGCTAAATATGAATTACGTTTTCCTTTTTCTTTTTTTTTAAATTGTGAAACCCATTTTTTTCTACATTGTGTTGGTCTATAAAGTAAAATCCCAGTAAAACTTCATGGGGAGCAAAACATGGAGTAGCTTAGTGCTACAACCTCCACTTTTGAGAAGTGAAGGTAGCATAGCTCAAATGATACCTGCCACTCAAAATGATAGCACTATTTTTGTTTGTCTGTGTGTTTGCTATTATTTTGCATGTTTATTTGAGCTAGATTAATAGATCAGGTTAGGTTACAGAAATAATTTTATCATTGTGATTGTTTACTAGATGCTAATACAGATTAAATACAACAGTAAAACCTTTCTGAGCTGGTTTATTTTGGGGAAACTTAGTTTAGCTTAGTTTTACTTTAGAAGCGAAGAATACTAGATTCTTATGACGCTTCTGTTATTTTAATGTTGCATTTACTTGCAGCCTTTTAGTCTAAAGATAGATTTTGGCTGTGGGCCTGAGTTTTTAGAAAAAAAACAGATGTATTGTTTGCCTGTTTTGTTGTCAATAAAACTATTTCCAACTTATTGTTTTTGCTGCATTTCTTTTATCCACACAAAACCAATGTAGTGAACTTTATAATCAAAAAATGTATTAAAAATTGACAGTAGGTGAGTTTGTTCAATTTTGCAACAGCTATGGTCTTTGAGTTTAAAAGCAAAGTCCTCAGTGTCAATAACCCTAATATGTGGTTCCACATTAGGTCAGGCAAGATCCATATTTGGAGATTCAGTGGTGCACTGAGGAGAATCTGCAGAGGTGAATGGAACTACTTTAATGTTGCATGAAAAACTAAGTCTAAAATTAAAATATCTGCTAATCTTGTCAATTTTACACAATGTCAAACAGCAGTGAAGCACAAACAACAGTAAAATTCTACTTTTTTATTATCTATTCTCTGTTTGCATCTTGTCTCCTCTCTATTATAAATGATTGTGAACAGTGCATACATAGAGTGAATGTTTTGAAGACTAAATTTGCAGATGATATCTTGTACTTTACCTTAAGTTGTGATTTAAAATTTTCCTTGGCTGAGGCTGAAGCTTAAACATAAAAGAGTAACTGAACTCTGGGTTGTTCAAACAATCCTCAAAGGACTTTGTTACTCACTCGGCATTGCACTGTGGAGCCTTTGCCTTTGGGTATAAAAGGAAGCAAATTCGAGTTCGTTTTCTTCACATTGTGTTGAGCTTTGCACAGCTGTCTCAGCTTCCAAATACTTTTGGTGAAGGAGAACCCAGACTCTCTAGAAGACATGGATCTCAACGGAACATGGCAGGTGTACTCCCAGGAAAACTACGAAGAGTTCCTCCGAGCCATGGGTAAGAAAATTATTCACAAATTTTACTTTTATCAACACAGGCCGACACAGCTTTGCATTGCAGATTGGTTGTAATTCATGTCTAATGTTGCATCAAATATCAACAAATCTCTTCTACTCAACAGAACTCCCAGAAGATGTCATCAAGATGGCCAAAGACATCAAACCGATTACTGAGATTAAGCAGACGGGCAATGACTTTGTCATCACCTCCAAGACGCCTGGAAAGACTGTGACAAACTCCTTCACCATCGGGAAAGAAGCTGAAATTACCACCATGGATGGCAAGAAGCTAAAGGTCACTAACGTTTGCTTATTGTTTATACAGAGACAAATAATGTAGGTCTTCTCTATCCATTCTACATGTCTACAACACATCTCCAAAAATATTCTTTACAATTAAATTTGATCTCGTATTATTGTTTTTTAGCCTCTAAATGATGCGTTATTGGCTTTATTGCTGGTGCTGAAATCTGTCTTCTTACCCCTCCTCAGTGCGTTGTCAATATAGAGGGAGGAAAACTGGTCTGCAAAACTGGCAAATTCAACCACACACAAGAGCTCAAAGGAGGAGAGATGATTGAGGTATGGTGCATCCAGATTTTTAGTCTTGCAGAAACATGTATTTCTGAAAGATAAATGCACAATAAGTTTTCAGACTGTTTGATTATAAGCTTTAAAATATGTGTCTTGTTCTGTCTTATCTAGACTCTGACTGTGGGCTCAACGACTCTTGTCAGGAAGAGCAGAAAGATTTAAACCTGACAGTGACAAAGATACAATGTCTATTTAAATAAAGAAAAAGTGTGCGTAATACGTGTGGTTTGTATTGTGTCATGTTCACATGTGGTAGCCAAAAAAAAGATGTATAAATCAAGCAGTGAGTATATCTTTGCTGACGCCATATAAATGTAATATTTTCTAAAGAACGAAAACATTGTCCCTGCAAAATCACATTACTGGCCAGGCAAGCTGCTGAGTTCAGTGTTGGGCACAGTTCATTATGTAGATCAGTGGTTCCCAAACTTTTTCTTCTGCGCCC